TTTACTACAAAAGTGGCAGCAGTGCCGAGAATCAAGGAACCCTAGTGAAATGCAACATACTCCAAGGAACAATGAAGCAACAAGTTGTGGACAGTGTAAACTGAATATAAAAGAGCAATTTTGATAAAGAAGCAGATGTCGGAAGAACAAACTGGAAACCGGAAGAGAAGGTGGAAAACTTCAACACGGAGTGTTGGCAGTCCTGTTGCAGAGAGTGTAGGAAACATAGATAAATAAATACACATAGATAGCTTATATGTACGCAAAATCAACAAGAATTGTACAGTCCGCGAACTAGGGGCCAAAGTGTACTACAATGATAAGCGGGGTGGTTTGGTGTTTTAATGGATTTCATAATAGAGTGTAAAATAACTCCAGGAATGGAAAACTATTTGAACAACAATATTGCACTGAGCAATATATCATATTGACGAGAACTGAAGAAGGACATGAGAAGGACTAAACTAACTTAAATTTCTCTCTACAGAACTCATGTACACCGCAAGTACTCAATGACAAAAGAACAGCCAATGTTCACAACCGACCTAGTTAATCTATATAATAGAAATATCTTTAAAACATCTCTGTAAAGTTATATCATTCAAGATGAAAATTCAAAAATGTCGTCTTATGCGCAATCTATCTTTATCTATGATTACAACATAGAAAGAAACTTGAAGAATGGAAAACATTAAAAATGATTCAAGAGGTAAAATCAATGTTTGAGCAAAATAAGAAGATGGATGAATCACAACAAGGTATGGATCATCTACAGAGAGTAGTGGAAACAGGGGAAGCAACAGAGGATACATATGACGAGATGTTTAATATCAAAACTAGTACAAGAGAAAGAGCATAGAGAAGAGGAGGAGACCAGAAGAGCTGAAGCAGACAAGAGGAAATGGAAACAGGAATACCTGGACAGGAAACGGGGGAAAGTGGTGAATATACCAGAGAATATTATGCTGCCAAAGAAGAGTTATGGTAACAAGCATATGCTCCAAACAAGAGGAGCCTGGTTGAATTTAAGAACAAAATGCTCAAGGGACTGTATGACACAGAGTTGAAGGAAACATGAATGGAAAAGAGAGATTAAGGCAGTACTAGACCAACAGTTATCTCATGATAGACATGAGTTAAAAACTACATACGCAATAGTTTCGAGATAATAGAAAACAGCAACAAGGCGGATATAATGTGGGAAAAAAGAAACAGCAACATAGATAGTTCTGAGAAGACAGAAAACAGCAGGAGTGTCATAGAATCGGATGAAGTTAACCATGCAGTAAGGAAGGAAGCTTATTTGAAAAGACCTCAAATTCTGAACTCTCCGGAAACCAGAAGTATCTCGAAAAAATACAGGGAATAGTGTTGGGTTGGGATAAGATCCTGAATCTAAAGAATAAGAATTGGAGGGAAGATGAAGAAAAAGTGCAGACACAAAGAGAAACAAGATATCTAGAGTGGCTGGATAGAGTGGAAACCTTGATGAGTAATGAAGAGAAAGATCTGGTGTATAGTACAGAAGATCTGGTTTATATAGATAGGTTGGTGAGTAATGAAGACAAAGATAGGATTGAAGCCTTGATGAGTGATGAGGAGTTTTTAGCATTGATGGAAGTTAAACACGGTTGAATCATGAAGTAAATCCCAGCACAGGAATTGTGATACAACAAGAAGTGACAGAGTCTTGCTCAGTGTAAGTCAAGATAAAGATCAAGATCAAGAGAAACATGAAGACCAGGAGAAGCAACAAGATCAAGAGAAACATCAAGAACAAGAACGTTACGTTACGACAAATATGTTGAGTATAAACACAGAAAAACAAATACCTAGAGTGGAGACAAGATGGAAAATACAGAAAAACAAATACCTAGAGTGTAAACCAGGTCAGATAAAGGAATAGAGACCAAGAGATAAGAAGAAAACAAGCAAAATGAGGAGGAATTATTGAACAACCAAGGAAGTTGATAAAGGAGAGAAAAATTAACAAGAGATAAAAGGCTGAGAGAATAGGGAAATTAAGAAAGTTCAAACTGAAGATATGGAAAACAAGCAAGGAGAATGATACGAAGAGCTATTCTGTAATTCCAACACGTTCAATTATTGTAGCAAGAACCACAGATGCGTATGAAAAATCCACAGCTGTATCCAGAACAAATGCGGAGTTATAATAAAGTTAATCTGGTTCCAGAGAATCAACCAGAAAGTTTAGAGGGACAACCAGCAGATAAGAAGGGATTAAGACCAAGTCTTACAGTTGTGAAAACAGGTTCTAACCCTCCTACCCTCACAGCTCTAGCTGAGAACGCAGTTGTGAAAACAGGTTCTAACCCTCCTACCCTCACAGCTCTAGCTGAGAACGATGATAACATGAATGATGATGTAGACAGGGCTTACAAAGGCAAGAAAAATACAGCTGGAACAAAAATAAAAGAGATTAACAGAATTCGAGAAGAATCAAAGAGGAAAAGGATAGATGAGTTCAATGAGTCAAAGCAAACAAGACAAACCAAGATAAGGAACCAGAGATGGAGATCAAGAAAAATGCTGAAGAAAACCTGGAACAGCTAGGCAAGCAAGAAAAATACCTATTCAGTTTAAATGGAAGTTTTAGACAAGATAGACCAGGGATTTATTATGAGAACTAGAAGGAGTGAGATAGTTTCTGCAATGATGTCACACATCGCAATGCTGTTATCATGGTTCTTCTGGCAGGTTTTGAGTTTGGATAACTCCCCAGACTGGAAGGAAAGCAGCCACCATGTACAAGTCCATGTCAGTAAAGACAGTTGTTGCCTTTAAAAGTCACTATAATAAAACAAAGATATCTGAAATGGATATTTCTAACATTTTTTTAATAAAACAAAAGTTTTGAAATATTTGCACAAGACGGAGTAAAATTGGTTGGTTAAAAATGAACAAAGAAAACTATTAATGAACATCAGTTGGAACATATTCGTAGAGCTTCATGTTGGTGGTGCAGATCTTCAATCACAGCAGGTTTGCTCACAACCAGGTTTCAGGCTATGGGAGAGATATCGGTGTTTTATTGTGTGCATTGAGCGATTATGTTGTCTCTGTGATGCATGATAATGTTGATCTCTGGAGCATTGTGGGGCTAGGTGTAAGCAGAGTCTGCATCTATCTCGGTATCTGAATCACCATCATGAAGGAGTCAGGGTTGAGACGGAGTTGTGATCGTCTTGAGTGTTTCAGGCTGACTGCCAGGCTGGGATGTGTAGAGGGGTTAGGGGGAACGAAGGAGCGAGGGTGACATGTGAGTGCTTCATGGCGGAAACAGATACACACATCTTGAGAATAGTCAACGGCATCTGAGTCGGTAAAATCGTCTTCCTTATATTTCGAATTTGTGTTAACAACAGTGTAGAAATACATCCTATTCTGGGTAATCAAAAATAATGTGAAAGCAGAACAAGTAAAAAGGTACACAAGATAGCTAAGACAGAAGAACAGAATGCAGTGAGGGACAAACAGTCAGCCAGCAGTATAGACCTGGAGCCAGACATAAATCTGGAGAGAGAGTTTGATGCAGTAAGAAAGAAAAGATACTTGGAGCAACAATGTAGGGCGTCAAGAGGTAGACATAAAGAAGATATACAGCAAGAAAAGGCACAGAAAGAGGATGTACAGAAAGAAAGTGTACGGCAAGAACAGAAGTTCTATAATCAGTATAAGCAAGAGTGCAACACTGTTCAAGTGATCAGAACCTCCCTCATTCCAGAACAAAAGTACCAAGATATTCCCAAACGAAAGTACCAAACTAAGTAAGGAAAGAAGTGCCAGACTTGATACGGACAGCATTGTAACACCAACTATAACTAAAAGTATACCATCAAAGCTTTAAGGGACTGTAAAAGTAATCTCCAAATAAAAGAGTAAAAGTAGAGAGAGAGAGAGAGAGAGAGAGAGAGAGAGAGAGAGAGACGGCCGGTGATATCCTCTTCACATCACGGATCAGTTGAATCAGTCTGTATGTACATGAAGATCTAGTAGATTAATAGTTTAGTAATTTAGAACTGTGTACGTAGTAGTTTAGTATTTTAGTAGTTTAGTAGATTAGTAGCTTATGCGCCCATTTTCTATTTTAATTGAAAACATTTTCAATATTTTCTCTTTGCAAACATTGTAAAACAAAATTTAAAAAAAGTTTTAATAAAAATATTTCGTGGATTTCCAAATTTTAATGAAAATCGGGTTTTTTTGGAGGCTAATTTTTGAAATTTTGATCTATCATAACCCTTCCCTGGGGTGAGGTCCCACACAAAAATTGGGCCCAATCTGTTCAGCCGATTTAACGTTTATTGAATACAAACAGAAAGACAAACAAACAAACAGACACCCAAACAAAGTATATATAGATGTTGTATGAGATGTATATTTTTTAGATGAATATTATTATTAAAAATTATAGTATATATAGTATAAATCCGTGACATGCAATATGGTTCAAAGAAATAATCATTACAACTTTTTATCATATCATTTTACAAAACTCCCTTCACATTTTTTAAAATGAATTAAATTTTTTTTATATGTTGAAAAGGATTAAAATTGTGTTCTAGCGTTTTCTTGATCATAAAGCAATTAATCCTATAAAAAAAGAACAGACAGGTTTATTGGATGTAATTTACCAACAAATAAAAACAATACGAGTTAAAAAAACTATATCTGTTTAAATAACATTTTAATGAAATGATTTATTATTAAAATATTATTTTTTAAAAATGTATCCAACATTATTTGCAAATTAATTAGTTTATTAATGTTTAATAATTGCATTTGGGGATTGGATAAATTATCAAAGATTTCTCCCTCAAAAATAGTTGATTATGGCCTCCCACAACCCCACCCAGCACAAGCTCTAAACCTAAATCTATACTTACCTTTTTCAAGCTTAAATTGTAAAAAGTATATATACATAATCTGAGGAAGCATTAATCAAGCTTTTTTTGTCGTGCAAAATTTTCAAACATACAGTTTTCAAACATACAGTTTTCAAACATATAGTTTTCAAACATACAGTTTTCAAACATACAGTTTTCAAACAAACAGTTTTCAAACATACTGTTTTCAAACATACAGTTTTCAAACATACAGTTTTCAAGCATACAGTTTTCAAAAATACAGTTTTCAAACATACAGTTTTCAATACGATGAGAAGAATTCTCAATATGTGTGTTTGTATCAGTTTTTATATCCATGTATGTATCCATTTATCCATGTGTAATATCCGTACTTACATCCGTTTTTATATCTGTGTATGTGTCCGTATATCCGGGTATGTATCCGTGTATCCATGTTTAATATCCGTGCTTACATCCTTTTTTATATCCACCTATGTATCTGTGTATCCATGTTTAATATCTGTGCGTACATCCGTTTTTATATCCGACTATGTATCCACATATCCGTGTTTATATCCGTGCTAACATCAGTTTTTATATCAGTGCATGTATCCGTGTATCCGTGTTTATATCCTTGTATACATGTTTGTATCCGTGTATCCGTATTTGTATCCGTGCTTACATCAGTTTTTATATCTGTGCATGTATCCGTGTATCCATGTTTTATGCGTACTTACATCCGTTTTTATATTTGTGTATATATCCGTGTATCCATGTTTAATATCCGTGCTTACATCCGTTTTTATATCCGTGTATGTATCCATGTATTCGTGTTTATATCCGTGCTAACATCAGTTTTTATATCCGTGCATGTATCCGTGTATCCGTGTTTATATCCGTGTATACATGTTTTTATCTGTATATCCGTATTTGTATCCGTTATCCATTAATGTATCCGTGTATCTGTGTTTGTATCCGTGTAACCGTGTTTGTATTGGTGTAACTGTGTTTGTATCCGTGAAACCGTGTTTGTATCCGTGTTTGTGTGGGTGTATACATGTTTGTATCCGTGTATCCATGTTTGTATCCATGTATCCGTATTTATATCCGTGCTTACATCAGTTTTTATATCTGTGTATGTATCCGTGTATCCATGTTTTTATCCGTACTTACATCCGTTTTCATATCTGTGTATGTATCCGTGTATCCGTGTTTATATCCGTGTATTCATGTTTGTATCAGTTTATCCGTGTATGTATCCATGCATCCATGTTTGTATCCGTGTATCCAAGTTTGTATCCGTGTATCCGTGTTTGTATCTCTGTATACATGTTTGAATCTGTGTATCCATGTTTGTATCCGTGTATCCGTATTTGTATCCGTTATCAATGAATGTATCCGTGTATCCGTGTTTGTATCCGTATATGTATGGGGGTATCCGTGTTTGTATCCGTGTATCCGTGTTTGCATCCGTGTAACCGCGTGTTTGTATCAGGTAACCGTATTTGTGTCCGTGTATCCGTGTTTGTATCCGTGTAACCGTGTTTGTATCCGTTTATCCGAATTTGTATCCGTTATCCATGAATGTATCCGTGTATCTGTGTTTATATCCATATATGTATCCGTGTAACTGTGTTTGTATCCGTGTAACTGTGTTTGTATCCGTGTAACCGTGTTTGTATCCGTGTAACTGTGTTTGTATCCGTGTAACTGTGTTTGCAGATGATATGAAAATAATATGATTGATGGGCCCAAGGGAATAATTAGAGATGAGTAAAATATAATAATGTTACAGAAAAGCAAATATATATCTACATAAAGATGACTTTTCACTTGACCAGAATAAGAAGATCCGATCAATAAAAACCTAGGTTCAGAAATAAGAGAAGTTTCAATAAAAAACTAGAAAAATACTGCAGATTCCAATAGGATAAAGTTTCGTTCAACATCTTCAAGAGCTAAGTAGACCACGCTACGAAAAACTACATTTTGCAGCTTTCATTCATACGTTCTTAAATGGAATTAGTTGCTGCTGAGTTAAACATCATTGCTCAGAGCAATCCTAAATCCTCCTGGGAGACAATAAACTGAACCATGTACAGTAAATTCTGTGGACTGGAGAACCAAATTTTCTATATAAAGCAAACTAATGCAGGAAAAAAAGTTGAGAAACTAATCTATATAAAATAAAGGAAATTTTATAATCCCCGATACAGGCACTCTATATAATACAACAATGTATTAATAACTGATCAAAACAAACTTAGAAACTTTTGTGAGAGTGAAAAATCTAGCAGTTTCTTCTTCAAAATACTATAGTAAGAGTCAGTGTTCTAAATACCTCTGAACCTGTTAGATGGCATAAGGAAACTGTAGAGCAAACTGTTTTAAGGTTTTACGGAAACTCAGTGAAAAACTCTATTCCTAGGTTGATAGTTAACATCTTCTAACCCTGCAAGAATAGCTCACTCAAGGTAGAAAGGCAATTATAATTTTATGATCGTTTGCCTTTGCAACTTAATGATATAGGCCTTTCAAACTATTAATGCTTATTGATTCTACCGTCAAAGTATACAATTTAAATAGTATTTACCATCATCCATCATGTTGCAAAGATTCAAGATTTAAAAACAGCAGTTGGAGTTGAGATAACCAATTTCTTTAACTTGTCTGTGAACTAAGTAGATCAATATTTTTCTTGAAATAATCTGGTTTAACTTTACAACTTAGTCCTGTGTTTCTTCTCGTTCTAATCATTTAAACTTTACATTAAGCATACAATTTGTGTAGGTTCAAGACATAGATAAATAAATAAACATAGATAGCTTATGTACGCAAAATCACCAAGAATTGTACAGTCCGCGAACTCATACTTCTAAGGGTCAAAGTGTACTTCAATGATAAGCGGGGTTGTTGGTGTTTTAATGGATTTCATAATTATTAAACCACTCAGGAGTGAATTTTATTTTGAGAATATCAAATTATTTCACTGAGTAATATATCATATTGACGAGAACTGAAGAAGGACATGAGAAGGACTAAACTAACTTAAATTTCTTTTTACAGAACACATGTACACCACAAGTACTCAATGACATAAGAACAGCTAATGTTCACAACCGACCTATTTAATCTATAAACTAGGAATATCTTTAAAACATCTCTGCACATTTATATCTTTCAAGATGAAAAATGTCGTCTTATGCGCAATCTATCTTTATCTATGGTTCAAGATAACCCCTGCTAGCTCTAGGTGTAGGGTTTAGTGATTTCTAGGTTTAGAGGTTAACCCTTCAAGGTCTGGTTGGTTCAAGTTAACCACTGCTTACTTTAGGTGCAAGGTTTGGTGTTTTCAATGTCAACCTTTCAAAGTATGGTAGGTTCAAGTTAACCATTGTTTACTCTAGGTGTAGGGTTTGGTGTTTTCTAGGTATAGAGGTTACCCCTTCAAGGTCTGGTTGGTTAAAATTAACCACTGTTTACTGTAGGTGCAAGGTTTGGTGTTTTCTAGGTTATAAGGGTTACCCCTTCAAGTTTTTGCTGGTCCATGTTAACCACTGTTTACTCTGGGTCCAGGGTTTAGTGTTTTCTAGGGATAGAACTTAACCCATCAAGGTCTAGTAGATTGGTTGGTTGTTTTGGAACCTTGTACTTTTCCAGTATTTAGAGCTAGCCTTGTATTATAATAACTCCATGTTCAGGAAAAAGTAGAAAAATGAACGGGACCGATCTTACTCCGGATATCCCCGGGAATCTAACAGACGAAGATGAATCTTGGATAAAGAATTCTTTATCCCTGTGTCTAGAAGGGGTTCTACTCCCTATCCTTGCACTTTTCGGAATTGTTGGTAAGAAATCAAGATATGTATGCTCTACTGTACAACGTACGATGTATATAATATAACATAATAAACGATGATTTCAACAAAACATTTCTTTGAATTTCATTCTCAATAAAAATTAAATTTCACTTATAATATTTTTCTTGCACTAAAACAATGTTTTTTTTTTTTATAAAATTCTGCTTCAATAAAATTGCAATTTTAAACACATATTCAACCAAAACACTAGGACAAAGATTGTTCTAGCCACAGCGCTCGGCCCAGCTAATCTTGCCGTACTGTCTCATCAAAATGCGGAATTCATAAATTAATCTTTTAATGTATATTTAATCTAAAACTTTTCAATTGTTTAGTCTTCGCCCATAAATATACCTAAGAAGACGAAAGCAAAACATGTTATCAGCAAAACATGTTTTTTCGTCAAAATTTTTCCACAATCATCAAAACAAAATTTTTTTCTTCGCCACCTCATAATTGAATAGGATTGTTATAGGTGTATTTTCGACCTTCCATGCAAAGATGACAATGCCCGATTCACAACGGTACTCTTGAAATTTGATCAATAATGTGGAAGTTATTGTCGTTTTCTAGATTTGAAAGTGTTTAATTCTAAGATTTATATAGGTTTTCCGGCAGTAGAAATGCGCAAGTCCCTTTTGTCGAGAAACCACAATTGAAAATAATAAAATTTAAATAATTATTTCTTAAAACAGTTCAGGTTTTATACGAAATTGTTAAATATTATTCTAAAAAGATATCGTTTCATGCATTTTGCATATTAAATTTATTACAAAAAAATTTTAAAAATGTTAATTAAAATAATTAGTTTTAAACATTTTAATTTATTTCCTTATTGATCAGACAAAATGGTACCGTGGTGAATCAGGTATTGCTATCTTTACCGTGAGTCACTTGTATTTACACGTACAGTCCCTTTAAAGGGATTGTAGATAGAACTTTAAGAAACCTTTTAAGAGAGTGGTATGTCCGATTTGCAACGGTACCCTTAAACCTTTTGTCTGATAAAGAATGATAAGGAACCAGTTTTGCTACTTGTAGGATCACTTGTAGGATCACTTGTAGGATCACTTGTAGGATCACTTGTAGGATCACTTGTAGGATCACTTGTAGGATCACTTGTAATTACGTAACCTTCCCCTTAATAGCTGGAGCCTTTATTTCTCTTCAGCACTTGCTGTCCTTGTAAAGAAATCAAATCAAACTGCATCTATTGACTCTCTAGTTTTGTGTTTATTGGCTACTTAATGATTATATTTTACTAGGATATATATTCTTTTCAGAAATATTATGTGTTTCTTAATGAAATATTGTGCTTTTTTTCAAAAATATAATGTGTTTGTTAAGAAAATATTATGTGTTTGTTATGAAAATATAAAGTGTTTAGGAATATATCGTGTTTAGAAATTTAATTGTTCAGGAAATATATTGTTCAGAAAACATATTCTGTTCAGGAAATATATTGTTCAGGAAACATATTCTGTTCAGGAAATATATTGTTCAGGAAACATATTCTGTTCAGGAAATAAATTGTTCAGGAAATATATTGTTTAGGAAATATAATGTTCAGGAAATAAATTGTTCAGGAAATATATTGTTCAGGAAATATATTGTTCAGGAAAAATATTGTTCAGGAAATATATTGTTCAGGAAATATTTTGTGTTCAGGAAATATATTGTGCCTGTTCGTGTTTAACCAAAAGAAGGTTGAACTGAAACCCAGTTTCTCGAATATTCTAAAGTGTCTCTCGGTCTTTGATATTCTCTTCCTGGTAAATATTGAAGTATTTCTTCTTTTTTTTCTTATAGTTTTCGATTTTTTTCTTCATGTCACATTTGAAGCCTTCTATAATTGACAATAACAAAGTTTGGAGCTAATGGCTACACATGACAAAATAAAGTTTTATCTGAGGCCGAATTTAAAGAATTTGAGCCGTGTGGCTCACATATGGTTGGTTTCACTTAAAATTGTATTCAACGTTTCAAGATTTAAGCTGGCCCTTAATTGAAACCGGTTTTTGGCGGATTTGAGACGCTGGATGACAAAAAAAGAAGAAAATTGGAACAAAGGAATTGAGTCTTTGTCACAAACTCTAATTTTCTAATCACTATATCGTTGGAAACCAAATGTTGCAGACCTTAGATATTTCAAACTATGAATTCTGTTAGATCAAATAATCTGAGTTAGAAATATCAAAGGTTTACAACATCGGGTTCTAAAGTTATTGAGGTTTAAATATTTGATTTTGTTCCAAAGACTCAATTCCTTAGTATTTGCATTAAATATCTTCATGTGACAATTACAAAAAAATGCACCATACGAATAGAAGGCGGGATTGTTGTCTCCTTCATCTAAAAAATACAAAATTTATAGAGTGAGGTCCATTAAACTGCGGAAGAGGATGATGATGTTTAAGTAATCTTATGTTCATTTCAGGGTTTATTCAAGTACCTAGAATAAACTCTAAAGAAGTAGCAAAGACGTTTTGATTGTTTATTATCATTATATAACTTTGCAACCATAAATATTTCAAACTATGAGTTCTGTTAGATCTAACAAAGGTTTACACCATCAGGTTGCAAAGATTAGAAAATTTGAGTTTGTGGCAAAGTCTAAATTATTTTCTTAAAATCTTTGTAAGCCATGGGTTTCTCACGCCGCCTTTAAAACAGTAAGTTAATTTGGGAATTAAGAATACAGAAACTTACAGAAAATAATAACACTGCTTTGCACATTTCGTGGATTTTGTAAATGTTTTCCGTACGTTTAGATTAGATTAAAATGAAATATTTAATCATTTTAAAATCATGAAGTTCGAACTTACTAAGTTTTACTGTGTCTTTTTAATCCAGATGAATCGTTAACTGTTAAATGTGGTATCTATAGGTTTTCCCTATATTTGTGAATTACAAAAAGGAACTCAACCCTTTTCATAAATTTGTATATCTCTGCAACCTGAAATCGTATACCCTTGATATTTTAAACTGTAAATTTTGTTAAATCAAATAGCCCTAGTTTAACATATAAACTATGTACACAATCAGGTTATAAATAAGAAAATTTAAGGTTAAGGAGAATGTTTAGTTTCTTTGATCTGAACAAGTTTTCCTGTCACTCAACACCAAAAAACTTAGTTTTCAACTTTAAGTTTGAAACCTTTAAGAATTAGATTGAATTAAGGTTGGAATGGTTCTACTCTACACAGTACCCAGAGCATCATCAACCTATAGAACCAACATTGAACCTGTAATCCTTCCCGTCCTGCTTCCTTTAACCCAGGTTACTCTCACAGGTATGCAGTCAACCGAGCTCAGCAATTAAACATCAGATGGTTTATAGCAAAAGAAAATGTGGAGGAAATGTTAGCCTCTATTTAAAAAGTAACCTATACACAACGATTATACTCTTTATATCTTTTATCTGAATAAAAATAATTTCTATCTTGAAGACGCATCCTTGTACGTGAAGCGTTTTGGGGTTAAAAGTCTATTTCAAGTTTATTTACACATGCACAGATTTAAAGGTTTCGTACCGTTGTGAATCAGGCATGTTCAACTTTAATGGAGTGTTTAAGTTAACTGTCCCTCTAACCCACCAATAATGATCTTAAGCTGTGAAGTGTGTAGTCTATGAGTTTTCGTGATGAAGTACTTTATTTGCCGAAATAAGTAAGTTAAGTTCATTTTTTTATATTAAATGCACTTTTTCCTCGTTTACCAGACCTACCTAAGGGATATATTTATTAGAAAAATGGTAAAAAAACGGTTAATCCCTTCCATAAGTTTATAATGGTTTATAATTCTTAACAGGTTCAGGAAAGGTTCCGTAAGGCCTACGCAGATCCAAATTGGTCCGAAAAGCTATAAGAAGTTAATTCCCATTTTTTTAAGTAGTACATAATTCAATGAATATTCGTCTGCAAACTTTCCCCTGTCAATTAATTTTTCAATATTCATGCTTTTTATATACAGAGTGTCCCATATCATATTGGATTATCTCTAAGCTTTATATACAGAGTGTCCCATTTCATATTGGATTATCTCTAAGCTTTATATACAGAGTGTCCCATATCATATTGGATTATCTCCAAGCTTTATATACAGAGTGTCCCATATCATATTGGATTATCTCTAAGCTTTATATACAGAGTGTCCCATTTCATATTGGATTATCTCCAAGCTTTATATACAGAGTGTCCCATATCATATTGGATTATATCTATGCTTTATTAACTACGGTTCAGATATAATTATACAGAGTGTCCCATATCATGTTGGATTATATCTATGCTTTATTAACTACGGTTCAGATATA